GACCGCTCTGTGATATGCACAATACCTCGGATCCGTCACTTTGCCAGCCCCTTCTTGATCTACAATCACTGGCAGCTGGATTTTGTTGTTGTCCAAGAGGTACTTAAAGATGCCGGGAACTTCGTCATCCTTGAAGGAGTACACTTTAGGAAACCTCGGCTCCGAAGACTTCTGCTTCTGAGGTCGTTGTTGCCATTGTGACTGCGATTGTTGTGGTGCTCGTTGCTGCTGCCGCTGTTGTTGTTGCTGAGGTTGCAATTGAAAGGTTTGGTTAGCATCAACTGCATTAGCATGTGCCTTACCTTTACCCCGTGGGACGAAATTCTGTTGTGGAGCATTATTCGCCTGTTGGCCTCTCTCCGCCTTCTTTCTTCTGAGGAATCGCTCGGTTTGCTCTCCTCGGACCTTTAGATCCTTCCATGTCTTGGACGGTGCTGTCCCCATTGCTTCCAACACATCCAGTGCGAGGTTGTTGTGGCACGTCTGGAGGATGAATTCCTCGGTGATCGGGTCCCGACAGTTCATCGCCTTATTCCGGAACCTCTTGACGAAGGTGTCAACCAATTCTCCGTCTTTCTGCTTCTCGTCCAGCAACGATCCGATGGATATCTCCGTGTCATCATCGAAGAAGTTGGCGAGGAACTTGGTCTCCATGTCATCCCAAATATTCATGCTACCTGGCTTGAGGCGGCGATACCAATCGAAGGCGGCTCCGCGAAGAGTGCCGACGAATGGCGATACCAATCGAAGGCGGCTCCGCGAAGAGTGCCGACGAATGACTGCACCATCAGAGGCTCATTACCGGAAATTACCCCCAAATGCGATTTGAAGTAAATCAAATGCTGGGTGGGTGAACCCATTCCATTAAACGGCGTGAAGTTAATTAGATTGAACTTCGCCGGATACGAGATTGATTCCCACACTCTTGGGTATGGACAAGGAATGCCCGTCTTTTTCATCTCTTGAGCGGAAATCAATGTATTGATTTTGCTCTCGAGATTTTTAATTTTTAGATTTTCATCTGTGTTTTTACTAGCATTCTCGTTACCACCCCCTGCATTGACGGGAGGATTATTGGTATTACGAGCTTCATTCGTATCCTCGTCCTCCTGATGAACTTGGTTGCGACGACTTGGTTCGCCTTGCTGGTTCGTCAATGCTTGGATTTGTTGGTCATGCATTTCTCTCATGTTTTGCATGGCCATCTGCATTTCGAACCTGAAGGTTTCCTGCTGCTTAGCTAAGGCATCTTCAAGCATTTTGGCCACTTGCTCCGCACTTATCATAAGTGCCTCACGGGGTTGTCCCTCGCTAGATACTGTATTATCTGATGCGACCGCGGAGCCGGCATCAGATTCTTCATCTTCTGAAGGGAGCCTTGTTCGAACCCTACCATAGGTTGTTCGCTTGATAGTTCTGGACTGCAGATGGGTTCTAGGCCGGGATGCTTTCAGAATCGATTCGAGATTGTCCCGCGCCGACCTCCCTCTGCTGGTCATGTTGGTGGTGACCCTCGGAAATTCTCCCTCTTCAACCACCGTTTTTCTTCGTCGGGAACGCCTAGGCCTTGGTTTTGGCGTTTCAGTACTGAGCCTCTCAAAAACCGAAACTCGTTCGGGGACCGCCTTGATGTAGCTGCATTCAGACAATACTGCCCGAATGAGTTTGGAACAGGGGCACTGATTTTCCTATTCTCGGGGACTCCTTTTCCTGGTTTTATTCATACCCCCAGCACGATAGTACAACTCGTCTGTTTGACGGTCGGAGTAATCTATTGTGTGTTGGCACGACTTCTCAGGTATAACATTATCGTCATCAGACGATAATGTTTCCTTCTGAGGGGGAACTGCCTTCTTCAGGCTTTCAAAAGTCACGCGCCTCGAAACATGCCTTTTTGGGCGTGAGTTCTCGGTGGGCTCCTGGACTTCAACGCGCAAGTTGGTGCGCATGACTGCCTTGGTCTCTTTGTCATGTTGGAGGTGACGGCGACCCCCAGCATGTTGTGTCGTCCGGGGCTTCTTCATCGGGCCCAACCGATCTTGAACAGAAGCTTTGACTCGCTCATCAGAAAGTGGACCGAGACGCTCCAAGACTGGCTTCTTCCTTTGGGACGATTCTGCATGATCTCCCGGAGAAGCTATTGGGATTACCGGCGACTTTGGTTGATTCACCGGAGGTTGAACTTTGGTTGGATGCTGCTTCGGCCTCCACACTTGGCGAGTTGATGGTGGCTTCTTGGCCACTCTTCCTTTCTTCAATTCCTCGGCCTTCTGCATGAGGATTCTTGCTTGTGCAAGCAGTGCGCGGCGTTTGTGAATCCGCTCTTCAAGTGTCGAACGGTTCCGTTTGACCCGGATCCATTCGTTCGTCGGCGGCTTAGAGGAACCACCATTCTTCAGTTGTTGAGATTGTTTGCCTCTCCTATTCTTCAGATCCGCGTTGTAGCGGACCCCGTCCGTGGACTCCATCGCTTTGGCGAATTGCCGCGCAAGGCGTTGACATCGCCTCTGGCGGGCTCTCTTCGAGAGAGTCACCACGCCCCCTGCGGCAGAAGGGTTGGCCAGAGTAGCTCCGACCTGGTTGGGATTTGGAGGAATCTTACCCGATGCGACTTTGGCATCAAACGGGGCGAGATATTCGTTGGTGTTTTCGATGTCTTCATACCAACGAGTTTTTCTCCTGGAGGAGAGCTTCTTGGACTTGCGGGGGGAGGTTGATCCGGACGAGGACGACAAGTATTCCTCGAACTTCTGCTGGTCGAACTCGTATTCGACCTCCTCCACGACTGGGATCGAGACCAAAAAATCCAACCTTTTCAAATGAACAACACATGGCCTATTTATACCTGATGGTCGCCAGATTGTTCGCGGGAAAAATCGTGTCTTTCTTCATTATTGATTCCATTGCTATCTTTAAATAACAACTTTTTGAGTTACAAAGATCCGGTCTTTTTATAAGATCCGGTTACAACGAAATCAAAAATAAAGAAAAAGATTACAACTTTCTCCTTTTATCGAACAAATCGCGAGCTCCTGTTTGCGGTCACTCGCTTTGTGGGTTCTTTGCCTGCGCCGGGGTTTATCCGTGGACCACCGCGAGATCTAGATCCGATCGGATCTACGCAGTACGACGGGTATTATTTCACCAAGGAAATAATAGCCAGGGAGGATTAGTTCACCAAGGAAATAATCATCCAAATCTCGGGATCAAAGGCCAAGCTTTGATCTGGAGTATGCCTACGTAGATCTGAGATCCGGTCCTCTCGAACACATGCCTTATTTGGCGTTGACGATCGCCGAGCACCAGATCTGGATGAACAAGTCCTCGAAGTCCCAAAGCTTGGATCTTTTTAAGTTCTGAGTCTTGAATCCAGCAGGGCTTCGCCTCTCCAAATTTTCCAACCTCTTCAAATGAACAACCGTTGGCCCTATTTATAGGCTCCCTTTACTGTGCCCGGGCACAGATCTGGCCGGCCACCTCAGGGTGGCTCAGCTTTGGCCGAGCCACCCAGAGGTGGCTCGGTTTCGGCCGAGCCCCGAGCCACCTCAGGGTGGCTCGGCATGGGCCAAGCCACCCTGAGGTGGCTCGGTTTCGGCCGAGCCCCTCTGGGTGTTTGGGTTCTGTCGTTTTGTCGTTGTTCCTGTGGTTGATTCGGACTCTGATTTGTTGATCTGATTTGGCTAGATCCGATTCCTGATTAGGCAGTAAATCCACTTCTGAGTTCGAGTCCAAAACTGATCTTGATTCGATCGTGATTCGTCCGAGTCTGTCCTTGGTTGGATGTCTCGTTGACTCTACGAACACTTGGCTTGATTCCACACGCGAATAGATGTATTCCGTTGCTTGCGTGTGATTCGTCAACCTCGTCGCCTCGTTGGTTCGTCGGTTTATGCCGAGCTATGCTAAGGGACCTATAAGCAATTTTATACGCCTACAAAAATATTCAAAAAATAGTATTATAAATGGAAGATGAATAATTAAAGCTAATAAGACAAGATCATTGGTTAAAAATAGACTAAAAAGACACAAAATAGAATATGCAGTTTGTTCCTAATCCTTGATAGACTTCAAAAAAGTCATAAATTAAATATTAATTCTAACTCTAGTTTAATTAAAATACCAAATTTAAATTGTGATCTTATTTTTCAAATTATTTTGAATTTAATATTAATTTTGAAATATTTTAATTTTAATTTTTTTAAATAATTATTATGAGATTAATTAACATTTAAATTAATTTGAATTTTTTATTTTTAAATAGTTCTAAAAAAATTTCCTTATTTTAGATTTTTATTTGTGAAATTAATTTTTATTTATTACATTTTCTAAGTGTAATATTTCTAGACGTAATTTTTGGAATAATTATTGCAACAAATAATTATCATGACTTATGATTGTATAATATTTGTATACTAATAATGATTGAGAAATTTAGTTATGTTCATAATCTAAAATACTCACTTTTGATAATTCATATTTTATAGTCTAAATTTTTTATGAATATAGGATTTTTTTCATAAATTATAACTTTTTATTTTTAAAAAAATAATTGCATTTTTAATTTAAGAAAATTTAATTTTATTCAAATATTAATTAATGCCAAAATTAATTCTATTTTCATAAATTACATAATGTCTAGGTTTTTATTTTTAGATATTTTAAAATACCAAATTTGGATTATTTTCTTATTTTTAAAATTATTTTGAGAAAAAACTGCTTCAAGGCCCGAAAACCCAAAAACTCATTTGTCCTAGCCCTTCCAATTATTTGTAATGTGTTGCAGTCCCAAAATTTTAAAAAAATTTTGCCCAAGCCCCTCTATCATAACTTCAGCTCATGTTTTCCCAAAAACTCAATTTTACCCCTCCCCAAAATCACTGTCATCCCCCCCAAAACCACACTTCTTCTTTCTCCTCTTCCACCTCTGTCTCTTTCCTCCCTCCTTCCTCGCCGCAACCGCTGCTCTCTCCTCCGTCGTCTCCTTCCTCCTTAAAAACCACATGTTCTTTTCTCCCATCGAAGCAGGTCACCGGCCGGCACAACGACATGGAGCTCCATTTAGCGGCGCAAAGGGGGATCTCGTTGTTGTTAGGGGGGTTTTGGGGGAGTTTGATGCTCAGATGACGGTGACCGGGGTTGAGTTTGACACAGAGGTAGCGACCATCAGGTCGGCGATGGTGAATGAGTTGAATTGGGGGTGGGGATCAGGAGAGGATCGAGAAGGTCGTGGAGGAGGTGATCGGGTGGCTGGAGGGGAACCAGCTGGCGGAGGTGGAGGAGTACGAACACAAGCAGAAGGAGTTGGAGGTGGTATGTGGGCCGTTAATCGCGAAGATGTATAAGGGTGGTGGAGGAGCTGATAGTGCAGGGATGAATGATGGTGGTTCTTCTAGTGATGGTGCAGGTGGTAGTGGCAGTGGTGGTTCTGGGCCTAAGATTGAGGAGGTTAATTAAGATTTTGGTTCTTTGTAGTATGGTTTTGGGTCGAGTACTTGTTTAGTCTTTTTAGTTTGTGTTGAGTCATGTTGCTCTGTTCTAGTTTATGGGTGAATAATGTATGGTATAGCAACAAGTATTAGTAAATCAAAAATAACTTTTGTGTGTATGATGGTTGAATCACAAGAGGATCAAAAACTTGTTCTCTCTTTATGCCTGGAAGCTAGAGCTTTATCCGTGCTTCTTGTTAACATTTAGCTGTTAAGTTTTACATAAAACATGTGAACTATAGCTGATTAGATGTTAACCTTTAGCGTTCAATGTAAAGTATAATTGCATAAATGTTAAATTTTTTCTTTTAAATGTTAAGTTTAGTACATAGACTGTTAACTTTTTTCTTTAAAATGTTAAGTTTTGTTAATTAACTGTTAAGTTTTACCTAGTACATGTGAACTATAGACAGTTAACTGTTAATTAGGACTTGTTCCATATAAATATAATTGAGTGATAGTTATCTTTATTCTTTTAAATGTTAAGTTTTGTGTTGTACATGTGAAATATAGCTGATTAACTATTAACCTTTTAAATGTTAAGTTTTGTGTTGTACATGTGAAATATAGCTGATTAACTATTAACCTTTAGTTGTTCCATATAAAGTGTTGTACATGTGAAATATAGCTGATTAACTATTAACCTTTAGTTGTTCCATATAAAGTATAATCTGTTAATATGTTAATATAGTTATCAATTTACCAATTAAGATTAACATAGTTCTCATTTAATGTGTTAACGGCTTATGTTAACATGTTGCTCAATCTGTTTATATATAATAGTTAACACAGTTAACATGTAAGTTGTAATAGTTATCAGTTTATATATAAATAGGTTTAATCCAAATGTTTACATAGTTAACATGTAAGCTATGATAATTAACATGTTAACTATTATATATAAGCTGATAACTATCACAGCTTACATGTTAACTATAATATGAACACATGTTAAATATAAAAACTAACATGTTATCAGGATAAGGGTGTTAGTTAACAGATTACAAATAATAGTTAACATATAATAGATTATAGTTAATAATTTACTAAATATAGTTATCAATTTAGCATCCAAAGATAACATGTTATCAGTATAACTTAACAAGCGAACTACGAAAGTTAACATATTATTGATGTAACTTAACAAGCAAACTATGAAAGTTAACATGTTATCGGTGCAATTTAACAAGCGAACAAAGAAAGTTAACATGTTTCTGATGACATAACAGATAACATATCTTCTTTATATATTGTACAATGATGACTGATCCAATCAGTACAAATATTAAATATACATTGAGCAAATCTATACTTTGCACATTCATAAACATTTCACATAGTCCAGAGGAGGAGAAACTAATAAACTCTTCACTCCCAATTTCTTAATTTCTTCTAATAAAACTTATTTATACATCAGTAATAAACACAATCTCCACCGACACGTCACCACACGTCAAATGCTTCAATGCTCTCTCTGGTCAGCAATCGTGACCCCAAACCTAAAATTAACCTTCGTTGACGTCACTGAGAACGGCGTCGGAGTCATCAACAATGTCGTCAAGCAAAAAGTCGAGTTTTTTGAGCCACAATACATGTCCAAAAGCTCATCAAAGAGTTTTTTGAGCAAACAAAGAGTTCAATAGCTCGTCAGACTCCAAAAGATTAACACTACATAAAAACAAAGCCACAATACATGTCCAAACTCCATATTACAGCAAAAAGTTGAGTTTTTGAGCCATTTCATCAAACATATAGCCACTTATACTTATATTTACACAAGACAACTTACCACCTTAACATAATTACCCAAAACACAAACTTTTTCCTCCACCGAAGCATTTCGTCAAGCACCAGGTTCGCCCTTTCACTTATTCACAGAAAACCAAAACAAAAAATCATCAGAAAAAGGGGCGAAAATTCGTTCCTAGAATGTAAAAATAGAGATAAAAATTGCATCTTTTTCTTTAAAAAACAAATAAAAATAGTACCTTTCGCTCATAGCCACCAGGGTGGTGCCAACGAGGAGGATAGAACTTGATCCCCCTCATCGTGGCGACCTCCAGAATATCCATGTTCTCCAAGCTCATATCGGGTTCTCCGAACATCATGGCGAACAGTTCCATATAATCCGTTAGGATTAGGGTTTCTATTGTCTCATTGTCGTTTGGGGGCCAGGGGTCGAAGGGGCCCATCAATTTTTTGTACTCGAAATGAGAGTGAGAGTGAGAGAGATCTGAGAGAGAGAGGAGGAAGAAGGAGAAGATCTGAAGAAGAAGAAGAGGGGTATTTTGGGGGGGTTTTTGACTTTAATTTTTTGGAAATTGTAATAAGGGTTGAATCATAAAGAATTTTTATTTTTGGGGCTAATACACATTATAAAAAGTATAGGGGGCTGAGACACATCAAGTTTTTAATTTTGGGGCCTTGAAGCAATATTTCCTTATTTTGAATTTAATGTTAATTTTGAAATAAATTAGTTTTAATTTTTAAAAAAAAGTACTTATGAGATTAATTAATATCTACATTAATTTGAATTTTCTATTTTTATTTTTAAATAATTCTAAAATTCTATCTTTATTTGAGATTTTTTAAATTTGTGATATTAATTTTTATTTATTAAATTTTCTAAATATAATATTTTGGGTCATAATTTTTGGAATAATTATTACAACAAATAATTATCATGAGTCGTGACTTATGATTGTATAATATTTGTATACTAAATTTTATAAAGATTGATAACTTAGTTAAGTTCATAATCTAAAATATTCACTTTTGTTAATTCATATTTTATAGTCTAATATTTTTATGAAAATTGGATTTTTTTTTCTTAAATTATGATAAAATACTTGTAATTTTTAATTTAAGAAATTCTATAATTATTCAAAATATTAATTCATGCCAAATTTAATTATATTTTCATAAATTACTTACATCCAGATTTTTATTCTGAAAATTTTATTTTTATTGAATTATTGTGAATTTTTAATTTTTAATTTTTAAATATTTTTCTAAAATATTAATTTATCTACATAACTTGCAATAATTGATTCATTAATAATTAATATAGAGATAAATATTTCCAAATTTTTTCAATAAAATAAATACCTCCTAAATTTTTTATGAAAAAATAAGGATTTTTTCATAGATTTTGGTTTTAATTTTATATTTTCTATATATATATATATATATATATATATATATATATATATATATATATTATATATATAATATATATATATATATATATATATTATATTATTATATATATTATATATTAATATATATATATATATAATTTATATAATATTATATATATATGAGAAATATGGTATGCTTGGTACCAAGCACAAAAAGTTATACTTGTAGTAGGTGTCAAATCCCCATCCATCATTCAAATGTAGGAACAAATTCACCGGGTAGTGAGTGGTTGGGGATTTGACACCTCACTACCAGCACAAAATTTATGCTTGTACCAAGCATACCCATATTTCTCTCTCTCTCTCTCTCTCTCTCTCTCCTCTCTATCTATATATATATATATAATATATATATATATATATATTCTATTGTTTTAAAAATTTATGTTAAAAAAAATAAAAAAATTGTTAATATTTTATTTAATTACTAATTTAATTTACTTATTATGTTTTTTGTATTTTTTATTTTTTTTATTTTTCTTAAATATGAAATTATCTATTTAATTTTTAATAATTGACTCAATGTAATTGAGCTAAAATATTTTATATAATTTGTAAATTATTTAAATTAAAATTTTAATTTATAAATAGGTTTGAAAAGATTATATATCGTAAATCTCTACTTATTTTTACATTTTTTACAAAAAGTATATAGTTATATAAAACATAACACAAGCATAATTAAAACAAGGTATTCTCTAAAATTTTAACATTTGATTTACCTATTATTTTTATATTTTTATAAAAACTATAATATAAACTATAACATAATTATAATTAATATCATATATCCCTAAAACTTTTAAGATTTGATTTACATTTTATTTTGTAGCATATATAATTATATAGAATATAACATAATCATAATTAATATAGGATTCCTCGTTTTTTTTAGGATTTATTTACCCATTATTTTCATATTTTATAACATCTAAAAAGAAATACAAAAAAGATAAATGAAATATCTTATTAATGTAAACTTTATTTATAGAAATATCCCACATATATCTAAATTTTCATTGTCGTTTAGAAGTAAAATTTAAAAATAAGATTTACTCATATTTCATTATCTTTAAGATATCTTGCATTTATTTAAATATAACATAATCATAAGTAATATAGGATATTCCCAAATTTTTTAGGATTTGATTTACCCATTATTTTTAGATTTTATAACATATAAAAAAATTAAATAAGATTTCTTATACATGTAAAATTTATTTGCAGATCCCACATATATCTAATTTTTCATTATTTGATTGAAGTAGAATTTTAAAATATGATTTACCAATATTTTATTATCTTTAAGATATCTTGCATACATTTAAAATTTTATTTCCCTCTATTTTTTAAATTTTAAATGGATATGGTAACTATATTATATGGCAAATTTATTTTTGATAACTTAATCAAGATATTATATGTGACTTAAGATCTAATCAAATACTATATTCCATAATTGTTTTATTTACAAAAATAAAAGTCTCGCTTATATGTTAGACTATTAGTCAAATTTGTTTTAGGTAAATAAATTTACTAAATTATAAATAATTTGATAAGATCATATAGCTTACATATTAGCTTTTTTTCCAGATTTTATTCAAAAAACATATATAATTATTTAAAATATAATAGAAGCATAATAAATATAGAAAATTCCTAAAATTTGTAATATTTGATTTACCTGTTACTTTTGGATTTTATAACATATAATTATACAAAATATAATTTAGTAATTAATTTCATATATTCTAGGTATCTTTTTGTT